CCGTGGAGATGCTCAATATGCAGTTGAGCTAAAATGCGAATGCATATGCCTAGTGCATTGGAATTGAAAAAAGTGATCAACTAGACATTGTAACTAACAAGATGTTTATATGCCAGTGGGTTGGAGATGCTTAGATTACTTTATAATATATTTTTTGTTTATTGAATTTCTTACTGCCAATTATGTAATTATTGGATATAACTTTTGTATAGTTTAATCAATAATTATTTGTGACATTGTCTCTTTTTAACTTTTTCTAACTTCACAGTAGAAAAAAAAAAAAAAAAAAAAAAAAAAACTACTTTTAGATGCGTTCTAAAAAGATTCGAGTCAGCTTTGAAAAAACAATTTCTATATAGGACCAAAACAAGTTACATTTTATCAAACAACTTTACAAAATCAGCTTTGTACATTTTTGTCATTCTAAACTTTAAAAAAAAAATAAAATTCGAAATTTTTAAGATTGTCAGACGAGAGCAAATCTAAAAATAAATAAATTTGGAGTGTACTTTTTTAAAAAAAATTCACTAAATAAAATAAACCTAACAAAAAAATAAATTAAAATAAAAATGTCAACCCCTCACATCCAGTATATACATACTACACCATGGTACGTTTGGTGGAAGTATTAATATAAGAACAATCCATGAAATTCACCAGTTTAAATATCACGAATATTGATGAAAAAAAATAAAAATTAAAATAAATAAAAAGAATTTTAAATTTTGAAATTTAAATCTAAATCAGAGATATTGTATAGGCAATTAAAAATGAAAAAAAATAAAAAATAAAATAGATAAGTTCACACCAAACTAAATTCAAAAATACGATGTGTTGCATGAATATATCACATGAATTAATCATTGTTGGCAGCTTCGAGTCTCCAGCCATGCATTAGCAATTCTCCATACATTACTAGTTTTTGGACTGTGACATGTATATGCAAATGACTCTCATCGCTCGTCAAAGCAATGTGTTTTCATCTTGATCCCAAAATGTGCACCCCCTCCCTAGCTTTCTTCAATTTTCCTCAGAATTTCACAACATTAGGCAAGAAAATATATCTCAATACCGCGAAAGATCCTTATTCACAGCTAGATAATAAAATGAAAACATTATTATTATTCTCTTATTAAAAAATTTTGTTCAAGGACTTTATGATTATGAGATAATAAATAGAAGTGTGGTTTTTTTTTTTTTTTAATTATTGAAAACCAATTAAATATTCAGATACTATGGAAAGGTCATGGATGGGCTTGAGGGACATGTTTGTCTGGTACATAGCTTTTACATAAGAGAAAGGCACTCTTGGAAGTCTCATAAAAGAAGGTAGTCGGTTAAGAGAATCAGAAATACTTTGACATCAAAAAAATGTGTTTGTAGATTTTATTTAATTATGAAATTGAATCTGATTCATAAATAAAACTTTTAATAAAGTTTTGGTTAATTTTTTTTGAATTTTATTAATATTACTGTATGGATATTTAATAGATATGACATTTCGACAGTTGCAATTGATTAAGTGGCGCTAATTTACATTAACATCTCATTCCTTGAAAATCAAATCTGAGCCCAACCCTTTCTTCTGGTGGTTTCATAATTGAAAGATAGGAGGCGGATGGATGCGTTTGGTTTGGGGTGGGGATTGAGTGTTGGAAGAGT